CTACCTATGTTTAAAAGTTTTTTTTTCCTATGTTCTAAATATTCTTTTACCTATGTTCTAATTTTTTTTTTCCTATGTTCTAAATTTAGTCTACTTATATTCTAAAGTTTTTTTTTTCCTATATTCTAAATTTAGTCTACTTATTTTCTGCTCATATAACTTAGTGCTAATTAATTTGTTTTATTGGATTTTTTTTTAAAAAAAAAAAACATTTGAAGTTTTTTTAGTTATTTATAAAGATAACCTATGTAGGAATTGAACCTACATCCTCTATGCATTTGCATAGTGCTCTTCCAATTGAGCTAATAGGTTTTATCATATGTTCTAAATATTATTTGCATATGTTCTATAATTTATTGCTTAAGCTCTAAATTTTTCAATCTAAGCTCTAAATATATATATGTTCTAAACTATTTTCCTATGTTCTACATTTTATTGTTTATGTTCTAAAGTTTTTTGTCCATGTTCTACATATATATCCTATATTCAAATTTTTTTGTCTATGTTCTAAATTTATTTCCTATGTTCTAAATTTTTTCCGTATGCTCTAAATTTTTTCCGTATGCTCTAAATTTTATCCTATGTTCAAAATCTTTTCTACCTATTTTCTAATTTTTTTTTTCTGTACGTTCTAAATTTTTTCTATCTATGTTCTAAATTTTTTCACCTTATGTTCTAAATTTTTTCACACTATGTTCTAAATTTTTAGTATATGTTCTAAACTTATTTTCTATGCCCTTATTTTTTTTTCCCAATATTTTTTTCCCAATATTCTAAATTTCCAATTTTTTTTCCTATGATCTAATTTTTTTCCCAATGTTCTAAATTTTTACTATGTTGCAAATCATTTTCTCATGTCCCAAATTTTTCCTATGTTCTAAAGTTGTTCGTATATTCTACACCTATGTTCTAAAGTTTTTTCTACCTATGTTCTAAAGTTTTTTCTACCTATGTTCTAAAGTTTTTTTTTTTCCTATGTTCTAAATTTTTTCTACCTATGTTCTAAAGTTTTTTTTTTCCCTATGTTCTAAATATTCTTTTACCTATGTTCTAAATTCTTTTGCCTATATTCTAAATTACCGTTACATAATCTAGGTTTAGTTAAGCATAATTAAACATGCCGCTCCTGAATGAGCATAATCCCTGCAACACACAACTGAAAGTTTAATTGACAGTTCATTGTGTTTACTGACCCAAGACGGGAAGTCATCACCTTAACCATTGGAATTCCAATAAGAGGCTCAGACTTTCGAATGCACCAGCTTATTGTCCTACCAAAACAAGACAGTTGAATGCGAAGAATATCGACAACACAAAAATGAAGGCTAAAGCAGTCCCATAATATAGAATGAACTATACTCTTTATTATTGCCAGAAATGGGGAACAAAAGAAAAGGCCAAAGATAAAATAACAAATAGAAACCAAAACACCAACGCCTAGAAACTGCCAAAAAAAACCCGAACAAAAACAGGAAACAGCAATAACAGCAAGCAGAAACAGCAGCAGCAAGTGGAACCAGCAGCACCAAAAAATTTAGAATGTAAGCAAAAAAAATTTTAGAACATAAAAAAAAATTTAGAACATAAGCAAACAAAAATTTAGAACATAAGTTGAAAAAATAATTTGATTTATTTTTATGTTTTACTCTTGAGTTATTATGGTTTACTTTCGAAAGTTTTTTTTTTATTATTTTTTTTATTTTTTATAGAGATAACCTATATAGGAATCGAACCTACATTCTCTATGCATTTGCATAGTGCTCTACCAATTGAGCTAATAGGTTTTAGCATATATTTTTTTTTTCCATATACCTACGCCTTTTTATATGTTCTAAATTATTTTCCTATTATCTTTTTCATCCATTACTTTAAATTTTTCCGTCTATGCTTTGAATTTTTTTTATATTATGAAAATTTTCACCCAATATTCTAAATTTTTTCTATCTATAATCTTAAAATTTCTCAATTCTATATTTTTTCACCCTATGTTCTAAACTTTTTTCCCTATGTTCTAAATTTTTTCACCCTGTATTCTAAACTTTTTTCCCTATGTTCTAAATTTTTTCACCCTATGTTCTAAATTTTTTTCCCTATATTCTAATTTTTTTCACCCTATGTTCTAAACTTTTTTTCCTATGTTCTAAATTTTTCACCCTATGTTCTAAACTTTTTTTCCTTTATACTAAATTTTTTCACCCAATGTTCTAAACTTTTTCTTGTGTTGTAAACTTTTTTCGCCTTATGTTCTAAACTTTTTCCCTATGTACTAAATTTTAGAACATAAGGGAAAACTTTAGAACATAAGGCGAAAAAATTTAGGACATAAGGGGAAAAGTTTAGAACATAAGGGAAAACTTTAGAACATAGGGAAAAAGTTTAGAAAATAAGGGAAAACTTTAGAACATGAGGGAAAAATAATACATAAACTTTAATTACCTTTTTCTTCCATAAGTAATTTTTTTATCTGGTATAATAGTAATTTCTTCATCTGATTTTTCTTCATTTTAGCCTTGCATTTTGCTGTAATTTTAAGAAATAAAAAATATTAGTAACATTCCAACATTAGTAATATATTTTAAACATAAGAATAGTTTAGAAAATGCTGAATATAGTTTAGAACATGCTGAAAATAGTTTAGAACATGATATCATAATTATATCACTAACAATTAAGAACACAACAAGAGGTATCACTAGCAAGAGGTAGATTTAATTTTTGTTCTCTTGTTGCACTAAATCTAGGTATACATTATCCAAATAGTACTTCATTAGTACTATTTGAATGGAAGCTTCATTAGTACTTCGTAATAAATGAATATACCTTTGCAATGGACATCATTTATCAAGGGCATCACAAAAACAAGTTGTTCAGGAATGTCACTAAGGATGAAAGTCTAACTGATCCGCACAAGAAGTACTACAAAAGTTGTCTTTGTAGACATTATATAGTTTTAACTATTTGAAAGATTCATTCAAGTCCAATGCATTTAAAGGTCTTTCAAGATTCAAGCAATTTCTAAACCAATAATCACCAACTTCCTCAAATTATTCCCAATTAAGGAAAGAGACTTTCTAAACCAATAATCACCAACTTCCTCAAATTATTCCCAATTAAGGGAAGAGACCTCATATAAAAATAAAAAAGGAAACGAGACTTGTTCCAATATGAATACAAAACCACCTTGAATAGAAAAGAGCTAGCATTTTTGCAAGATTCAAGCATTTATTCTGACAGTTGGGAATCAGATCTCAGTCAAGATCAGTAACTATTGGCACCAAAGCAACTTTAGCTATACACTGATATCAGATCACAAACCTCATTAGTGGAAAGTACATCAGTTCAGACTTCAGAGTAAGAGAATGAAGCTACAAGTCTCAAGCTGGCTAGATACTTGTCAGCATTTTGCAAATAGCATCTTTTCACAAACATATATAAAAGAATGGTGTATCATAAACAAGAGTTTCGAACATGCTGAGAAAGAGTTCCGAACATGCTGAGAAATAATTTGGAACATGCTAAGCTTATTTACAAATCAGAGAAGTATAATACATTTTGCACTAATAGTCTGAATAACAATAATCAAGAGCAGCGGTGAAATAATTCGAACATAAATCGAACTAATTAATATGCAAAAAATCGAACAAAATAATTCGAACATAAATAAAAAATAAAAATCGAACAAAATAATTCACGTAAACCACCATTTCACTATCAACCAGTAAAGCAGCATTTCATTTCATGATCATCACAAATCACACTACCGCTAATGGGAAATGCAACAGTTGATTATAAGACATATAATACTTGACAAGAAGACAAATAATAAACATAAAACCATTAACATTCATTAATAGACATTAAACTAATTGCACAAATACGAAAAAACCGCAATTGATAAATCAAACTGATGAAATCGAAAATAAAAGAAAATTGAAAACTGATATCGGGGAAAAAAAAAAAAAAAAAGTCAAATTGATGAATCGCGAAAATCGAACAAAATCAACAATGAAAAATGATAAATCATAAAATTCGAACAAAATCAGGAAAATTCGAACAAAACGTATATAAATAGTAAAATCGAACATAAATCAAACATCAAACGAACAAAATCGAGTATAGAAATCGCAAAAATCGAACAAAATCAGTAATGAAAATCATGCGAAATTCATAAAATTAGAACAAAATCGAATAAAATGTACCTGATTTGAGCAATTTAGGTTGTTTTAGCAGCAATTTGGGCTAGATTTTGGGATTTGTGGAGAGAGAAAGTAAAGAGGGTTGAAAGTTTGAGGAGAGAGAAAATATTGGACGGTTGGGGAGGGTTTAGGGGTAGGTTTTTTGTTTTAATCTTGACCGCTCATCCTAATCTAATCCTACGGATGTGATTGGTTCTTATATAACTAAGATTCTTATATAACTATGGGTTCTTACCGGATCCCTTCCCTATATATATATATATATATATATATATATATATATATATATATATATATAATCATTAGCTTCTGCTTCTCATTAAAATGCATCAATTTTTGTTATTAATGATCTTTTCTTTTCTTATTCGTAGGGTGTCTTTTTGGAAGTTTGAGTTGCATCGCGGTGGTCAAAAGTTAATAGTTCCTGTTAGTGCTGTTCTCAACTTAATTTATATTTTTAGATTTCTTGTTTGCATGGATGTTATTTTTTTTGTTGCATCACACATAATCCAATGTAGAATGTGTTGCATTTTACTTATTGAACAAAGTCTAGAGGTTCAAGGTTCAATGCCTCCTTGTTCTTGTGGTGCACATGATTACAAGGATTGAGCAATTTTATCATTAATTTTCTTGCATAAATTATGTGTATGTTAAGAGGCCAGTAGAAGTGGTTATATACTTTCTGTCAGAATATGCAAGGTTGTCAATATTGATTATCGCTTTTCCCTTTTTTTTTTTCATCTTCAGTTTCTATTTTTCATTTTAGCTTATGGATCTCTGTTATGGGATGAATTTTGCTTGCAGATTTTGCTTTCCAGGTATATAAATCCTTTTTTTGCAGCAGGGGCATTTGCTATTCCGACATCCCTTTATTTCGTACTTAAGGTAAGTTAGACGTCCTTTTTTGGGATAAATTTGTGAGATATCCATATTTGAATTAGTATAGTAAGTTTTATAAATATTGCTCTGAAAGTCTAAAATAAAGCAAACAACAATCCATGCTGGGAGGGGTTGATGGTGAGGTACGACAAAAATGTTAAAAACTTTGGTCTTCTGTTCAGACTTCATTGTTCACCGCATTTTGTGCAAAGTCTTGCCTATGATAAGCACCATCTGCTTCTTATGTACCCGATTAATGTCAGCAACAGCTCAAATGTATATGCAGAGTTGACTTTGGCTGTTACACTAATTTTTGTCCCATTATGGTTTTTATTTCTTGACCCACACACAGTTTCAGAGATCCATTGTTGTGTGTGTGCGTGTGTAAGAGGGGGAAGAGGAGGGAGGAGGGGCTGCAAAGTGTATGGGGGTTATAAGGGCCCTTTAAAGATATGGCTGTTGACAGATTCTTCACTTTTCTCAACCATACATATTCAATCTTGATATCATTTGAAGGGTCGGTAAATCTGGGAAAGGATAGACACTGGATTGTTTGGTGCACTCTTACCTATTTGTTGCAAGGGTGCAAGCCTTGTATGGAAATGGGCTTGTGTGCACTTAGCAACACAGGAAAACGCTTTATTTTAGAAGTGGCACTCTTTCCAATTGGTGACAAGAGCGAAGGTAAGGGTCGATTGGGGCTTTATAATAAGTAGCGACACAATAAACTCATAGTGTCCTAACAATGCAACACAAATAATATTAAAGCAAAAAAAACATAGGGTATGATCTCATTCATTGATCATCACTCCCCTAAGGGCCTAAGGAACGTTCTGAAATAACAATTTTTTCTCATTAACATTGGATAGACTAGCAGCGAAAATGTGGCTTCTACTAGATAATATGAAACCGATACCTCACAATGGTAAATAATAAACTTATGAAGTGAAATGATTGAATTCTTTTATGCATTATGATACTACACATTTATAATGAATACAAGGCTAATTAAACAATGGTTTACATTGTTTCTCTAACAATCACGAATATTGTTTCCTCTAATTAGCAATAACTAAACAAAGGTAAACATCCCTATTATCCTCCTTATATTGCTCTCATCCTATTCTTTCCTTAAATTTCTCACAATACTCCACCTCGTTCAAAATTAGACAACATTCAAATTTTAGACGAACAAATTTTAGTTATCCGTATCCGTTTGCAGCATTTTTACAATGACTGCCTACTTACCCTTGATCGGGATCAAACCAATCGTAGTTCCATTTATTTCTCCATGTAACCTAACATGGGACAATGTTAAGCAACTCCAAACAATATTGGAACTTGCTTCCTGACTCAACTTTTGTTTACATGTCTACAATTGTATGCAGTTTTACAAGAGAAATACTACCTTTCTCTATGACATTCGTTCAAAATGATACTTTACATATGTATGTTTGGTACAAGCATGATGAACCTGGTTCTTGGCTAAGTTGATTGTCACAGTTTAGGTTCACACTATCCTACTTCAACCCCAAATCCTCTAGAAGTCCCCGTAACCACATTGCTTCCTTAACTCCTTATGCCATAGCCGACTTCTATCGTAGATAGAGCCACTGTAGCTCGTAACATTGATCGCCAACTAAATGGAGCACCATGTATTTTAAACACATAACCACTAGATTGTCTTCTATCTAAATCTCCAGCATAATCCGTGTCAACAAAGCCACTTATATGACATGTATCTCTAGGAATCCGAAGTAGGGGTAGCACTAGACAATAATAAAACGAAAAAGTATAACATTGTTGTAACGTAACATAATTAATCAGCCAAACATGGATATAATGCGTTGTGTAGTCGTATAATAATTAACAATCACATTCAAACATTTATATTGACAAGTGTATTTTTTTTTTTAAATAATTTTTTTAAAATAATTTTTTTTTTTTTACAAATAATTCAATTATATTGTGGATATCGATTATACTATTATAAACTTTCCACCTGTTTATTTTTTATTTTGTCAAAGTTGCATATGAATTTATACCGAAAACTTTGGTATAAATTTTTCCTTGTGCACTTATGGCACATATGCTAACGTAAAACTTTGACTAAAAATATATATCTTTAATAATTTAACTTATAACAATTGAATATTATAGTAATAAATTTGACGATTCCACCAAGTACCCACATGACTATATTTATTGTTATGTATAAATCATAAATATTAGCTAAAGTGAATTAGATGAATTGTACAAAAAGTCAAAATGTTTCATTTATTTAAACACAGTTGGAGTATGATTTTTTGTATTTATTTCAGTGTAAATTTTCATACGATTATAAACAAGATTTAATAATGGCCAAATAAATGCAATAAATATTATGTGATGAAAATGAGAAAAATGAATAAAATATAACGAAGAGAGTATGTCATATTAATAAGGACTGTTTTATAAAAAGTGTGAAAACGGAAAAAAGAAATTTATCATGAAAAGATAGTAATAGCTTATCCTTTTGTTAATTAAATAGGAGGAAAGTGGAAATTCATTTGGGTTCAAAGCAAAAAAAATGATGCTAAGGGGTCTTGAACCCTGTACTTGAAGACACATAATTCACCCATCCAACTCCCTTACCACTGAAGCAATGCTGGAGACACTTAACATTTATACAGATTATAATATATATACACATATAAAGGACGGTTATCCAGCATTTTTTTTTTTTTTGTGGGGGTAGCACGTGCCCCCCCGGGCGTCAATGTTGATCCTCCACTGACCAAAGCATAAACTTATGTCAATGGTACCTTTTAAGTACCTTAAAATCCATTTCATTGCTTCCCAATGTGATTTATCAGGGTTTGCCATGAACCTAATTACAACACTAACTGTTGTGAAATGTCTGGACGTGTACATACCATAGCGTACAATAAATTGCCTATTGCACTAGCATAAGGTACATTATCCATGTATGCCTTATCTTCAGCTATAGTGGGAGATTGTTTACTAGAAAGCTTGAAATGTGGAGCCATGTCACCACTGACTTGGCACTTTCATCCCAAACCCGCTGAATGTAGCCTTTTTGGCTCAAGAACAATTTCCGCTTTGATCTGTTTCTTCTAACCTCCATACTCAGTATTTTCTTTGTAGCTCCCAAGTCTTTAGTCTTGAACTCTTTACCGAGCTGAATTTTTAACCTATCTATCTTCACCTTGCCTTTTGAAGCAATAAGCATGTCGTCTAAATACAATTGGAGATAAATATAATCACCTCTGCAAATTTTGCGAATGTATACACAACAATCGTAACTACTTCCGAAAAATCCTTGTTTTAACATAAAAGAATCAAATCGCTTGTACCCCTTTCGAGGAGATTGCTTTAATCCATAAAGTGATTTCCTTAAGCGACATACCTAATTCTCTTTACCTTCAACCTTAAATCCCTCGGGTTGATACATATAAATTTGTTGTGGACTGAATTCTACTTAATGAAAATAAGCCCAGGTAATAATAATTTTTAGGCTAAAAGCTTGAATATTTGATTGATTGAGGGTCAAAAGTCATAATTTTAGGTTATGAATCTTACAATAGCTTTAGGCTACAACTCTCACGTGTTTTCACTCTAATTTTCTAGATACCTTTACTACTAAAGTTACTACATACTTATACTCAAGCTTCAACTAGTACTCGTGATACTTAGCTAATTTAGCAAAACCAATCCTAGACAAAGTAAAGACTTGTTGCTTGCTTTCTCTAATTGTTCTTTAATTGATTTTGTCTTGTTAGCCTTGACTACCTTGTCCTTGCTCATGTTGCTGTTTCACGTTTCCCTTCTTCCCGCGCCTCGAATAAACCAAGATCGGTGTTTGACCTTCCTGACTCAAGCCCCGAAATCAGTCCATCACATATTTCACTTCTCTCCGCCCCTTTAAGTTTCACCTTGTCCTCAAGGTGGAAGGATGGAAATCGTTGATCAATTCGAACTCTTCCCAAGTTGCTTTGAATTCTCGCAGGCCTTTCCACTTAATCGGCACCTCCAAGCATAGTGATCCTTGGCTTCCCTTGCGTCTAACATCTATTAGCTCTTCAGGCTCAACCACAAGCTCTAATTCTGATGATAACCGTTGAATTGATAGGAATGTCACCTAGAGCCCTCTTAAGTTGTGAAACATGAAAGACTGGGTATGTCTTAGAGGACAGTGGCAACAACAATTTATACGCCACCTTTCCAATTCTCTGAACCACTTTGAACGGCCCGTGGTGGCCAGCTTCTCGTACAACCGCTTTGTGAGGGAACATTGCCGGTACGACTGCAACTTTAAGAATACCTCGTCCTCTCTTCTGATCCGCATACTTCTTCATTACCTGTTGAGCTCAAATTTAGCCTCAACTCATCCAGCATAAAATTCCACTCTTGGAGCATTTCTTCCAACGCATCAATTGGGATTTGCCCATTACCAACTCGCCACTGCTTGGGCGGATCTCTCCAATACTACCTTGAACGGTGACACCTTGGTTGCTAAATGTGGGGAGGTGTTAAGTCTGCCATCTCAACCACTAAGCCCACCCCTTTGGTGGCAATTTCTTTCATCTTTGTCGACGATTTCTTTCATCTGAAAGGACAGGGGAAGGATTTTGTCGACGATTTCTTCGTGACCGTCAGATTACGAGTGATAAGTTGTGTTGCGCTTTAGTCGGGTTCCCTGTAACCGAAAATGCTCTTTCCAAAAGTGACTCATGAACACTCGATCGCAATCCGAAACGATACTCGAGGGAAAACCATGAAGCCTTACGATTTTCTTAACAAAAAGATCAGCCACCTAAAGGGGTATTTAAGCCTTAAGAAATGGCCGTATTTGGAGAAATGATCCACAAACACGAGAACGGTGTCAATTCCCTTGGATAGAGGAAGGCCCTCCACAAAATCCTTGGAGATGTCTTCCCACACCGCCGTCAGTGCACCGATAGTGGCCGGAGCAACCCGAGGGGGAGCGCTGCGCCACCTTACTC